AGGGGGGGGGAGAGCGGGGGGGGGGAATCCAGACAAACCTAAACACACCCAAAACGTGCTGCCACTTCCATGACTAACAGAATCCCACACTGCTAAGCTAGAATAAAAATAAAATAAAAAAGTCTTACCACCATCACCCCTTTAACCCCAGCCTCAAGGCCACCTCTGCTCCACAGCTACATAGTTTCCCTCCAGCTTCACATTTTCAGCATCCTAATGAGAAACCTTTGCCAGCTGGATCCAGCTCTGAAAGCAATCTCTGTAATGAGGGCAGGCACCTGGGGACCTACCTGCTTGGCTCAGGAGGAGAATTTGGTTTGTTTTTCCAGTCCCCCATACTGTGAAGTCCTTTGAGGCCGTGATAAGGGAATGCCAGACCACCTGGCAGCAAAAGCAGATGAAGAGGGAGGGGACTGATGAAGAGCTGAGATGTGGGTGGTAGCCAGGGTGGGAGGAAAGGGTTAATCAGAGCCCTTGGATACGAACACCCAGCTTTGATCCCAAGCCTGAGAAGAGGATGTAGGGTGCTGGTGCATGTCTGGCAAAACTGCCTTTTTGTTTTATAGCTTTGTTTCTTTATTATGCCTTTTTTTTTTTCCTGTTTCGTTTGCTATATTTCAGTCACAGCTAGTTGGGAAGGGAAGGCTTCACTTTCTCATGAAGTTACTGTTCAGTCAAGGCCCAACTTTAAAAATACATTTTCTAAATATGCACTATTCACTCTTGTCCTCAGTAACTTGATTGGCAGAAATAAGAGCTGCAAAAGCAGATCTTGTCAGTCATTCTTAAGCCTTCCTTAATATGGAAACAATCACTTGCCATTTAAACCATATTTTTAAAGGGGCACAGTGTGCTTAATAAGATGCATGCACCTGGAGTCTCAACCTCTTTTTGGTTTCTGGTAAAAACTTATTTGTGGGGATTGCAGATGTGCATGGGTGAGATAACAGATCCTTCCAGGTCGCCCCTGAAAACCCATCCAGGCCTATTCTCTATCATTTTCTGTAAATGCACATGCATATGTGTACATCTGCATGTACTTTCCATCCTGCAGACACCCACTGGCACAGATCCGAACGTCTGCTTCATGAAATCCAAAGGACGAGCGTATGCTCGTGTGCAGGGGAGGCACCGCACCGTACAGCACTTTGCGGCTGCGGGAAGTGGAAGTCATGGGCGTTTGCTCTGTAGCAGGTCACGCTGGCCCTGTGGCACAAGGTGGGTCCAACATGGAGGAGATTTTTCTATTTTTAGGCTAAGCTTTTTTCCTTTAGGAAGCACAGCAGAGGATTAGGGTCTATTCACACATGGCCATCACTTGCATGTTGTGGACAGAGACCATGCGTCATGCAGCGCCCACTCATTTCAGACCTGTCTTTCAGAAGCAGTGAGTACCCATGGTGCCGGCTGTACTCTGAGACACGGAGACACGCAGCAACTTTAAAAGGAGACCAAGGAAGCCTGATGCTGGGGTCCCCAATTATGTTTGGACGATGGGTCCACAACAAGCGAAACATTTATTTTTCATGAAAAGACCTCCTAAGAATTAAACTGGAATTATTCTATGGTAAATTTAGCTACAGCGTTTCTGCGACAGGGAGTCCAGAGAACAATCAGCCTTCATCTTATCACCAGAACATCTCAATTCTGACCTGAAACACAAATTTGGTGCCAGGCGTACTGTGTTTGTGGTCTGTTCCAAATGCCAGCCAGCGAGGGAATGTGTCGGTTTATGGCACACAAGTAAAAAGCACAGAGCTAAGTTCAGCTGCGTTTGCCTTTGCTGGGAAAGGAAATAATTATTCTATTTATTTTGCTTCCAAGATGGGAATAGCAAATGTCTTTCTCACCTCACTGAGAGGAAAAAATCACACCCAATATGGTTAAGGTGCACCCCTTTTTACTGAGCAGCGTGACAACCTTGCAATTTGAACACAATTTTTTTTTTTTTGGCTGCTACCTTCTGGTTTTGTTTTTTTTTTTCTTTAATGTGGTTTATCCTTGAGAGATGCCTCATGCATGAACATCTTGGGTTGTTTCCTACAAAATGGCAGAGCTCATAAATAAAAGGAACGGGTAGAGCAGAAGTGAAGCTCATTTCAAACATGCTTTTAGAGGAGCTGATTTAACTGCAATCTGGAGGCAAATACTTGGCCATAGAGGAAAAAAAAAAATCTTAAAATGAGCCATGCCAGTCTGTCACCAGGAGTGGGCAGGTTGGTCCTTCCTAGGGGCCTGTGGTGATTCTTCTCCTGGAGGATGTGAGCTGTGATACCACCGAGTCTGCTGCTTTCATTTGTTTGCTTTTGCAGCGAACATGCTGCAGCTGAGATCACCTTTTCCAAAGCTCAGATACACCTTCCGGAAAGCCAGTGGCCAGATGAGCATTTTGATGTTTGTGTCCTGTGACCAAGGGCAGGGCTTTGGGAGAAAAATGGGAGCACAGCAGATGTTTGGACCGGGAATGCCCCCAGCACTGCTGCTTTTTGACCCACTGCATGACCCTTTTGGGGACCCTCCTTCATTTTTCAGCCACTGGATGCTATGACACAAATTTCTTGATGTGCGGCGTGGCTTCCTCTGAACGAAGGCCCTGTGAAAGGGGAGCCCTTCGGCACAGCTCGTGCACGAGTTCCCCTCCTCCCCTCAGCTCCAGTGACAGCAACCTGTGTCCCCACGTTACTTCTTGGCCTCGGTCCCCTCACAGTAAGGCGATCCACAAAGTGAACATTAGAAGGTGTTTTCTGGGCCAGGGATTTTCCCCCAGCGGGTTTCAAAAAGGCCCATCTGCTTCTCTCAGGACTGGCGTTACCTCCAGCCAGCCTCTGCAGCTGAGCGCCATCCCCGGCGTGAGCCGGCAGTCACTGCCCCGGCTGCATTTCATTCTGGCTGGGGTACTTTGATCAATCAAAGCAAATCAAGGGCAAGTCAAAGCCAGGCACCACATAGATTTGCTCGTCCGGCTCATGTCTCACCCCTGACCACACACCGGACGAACTCCTCCTCAGCCCGTGTTGCTTTCTTAGCAGTTTTTGCTCTGACCACAGTGATGCTGGTGACAGGGGAGGAAACCCGGCTCTGTAAGTAGGGACGCACAGAAAAGAGCTGCATTACACTTAAGCCCCAAACGTCTGACCGAACAAGGACTCCACGGCACAAAGAGGGGTCGTTGCTCCCCGGGGGCAGTGGGACCGTGGTCGAGGTGCAGCCTGGTTTCCTCCCTGGAAGTGGGGAGGGGAGCACAGCTCAGCTGGAGGCAGCGGGGGCCGCAGCCAGCAGGTCCGACGTACCGCCCGAGCTGCTGTACCAGGCACACAGTGGGTGAGTTAAGGACATACTTTCAGCCTTAATTCTGAGTTTCCTAGGTTTTGTCAGTTTAAGCCAGATTCCTAATGTTATTTTAATGCCGTTGTTTTGTGTGTGAATAATATGCTTTCTATGCCAAACCACAAGCCCTGGAACTAATATCTCATAAAAATGCCTAGAGTCCAAAGCTAATAGCTGTTATTCAGCTGATTGAGTGATGCCTAAAAAGTTACAGATTAACGCTATTCCCCAGGGGAAGGTAAAATTAAACTCGACTTCTGATGGGGCTGGGTGCTCTTTCGCGTACTGTCTGAGCCTGGCCTGGGGGAGGCAGCTCGCTGCAGACCCTGGGCACCCCGTGGCAGGGCTCGGCGCTGTGAACGCGTGAGGCAAGTGCCGTCTGGGATCTACCTGGAGTCCCGGTGGGCAGAGGTTGGGGGTGTGTGAGGGATTTCATCAGTTTTCCCTTAAAAAAACCCCTGCCCTTCCAGCAACACCCCAGCGAGCGATGGGTCACTACAGCTCATCCTCGCCCAGCCCTGCTGCTGTGGCCAGTGACTCAGGGGACGCCGAAAAGGCGGGGGGGAGATGCTCACTCGCTCCCCAGGCTGGCGGTGTCTGGGCAAGTGGTGCTGCGGTGAGGTCAGGTCCCGGGACGCTGCCAGCCTGGCATGGTGGGCAGGAGCTGGGGCTGGAGCCACCGAGGGGGCAGGCGCCTCTTCCCCTCCCAGGGCCAGTGCCTGAGGGTTTGGATGGGGCATCGGTGATCCACAGGGAGCGGAGGGGGGATGCGGAGGGGACAGGCGATGGGGGGAAAAGCTGTCCCTTCGTGCTCCTTCCAGGCAGGGAAATCGAGCCACAGGATGTCAGTGCAGCCTGTGCGAACAGCATGCTTGCCGAAAGAAACAACTGTCTCCTCTCAAGAGCACACAGGAAGATCTCTTTCCCAGAACATCTTCTTATTTAGGAAACTCGCATCACAGCAGCAAAGCAGAATGCTTATTTGGGAATAAGAAAATGAGATGTGGCCCCAAGTCAGTGCTTGCGTGTAGGCACCGCGGCAGAAAGTTTGAGGACACACGAGAGGCAGCTGCTGGCTCACAGTAACAAACGCAGAACTGGATGGGCTGGAGGCCTGGACAGCTGGTGTTTGCTGCCTGCATCCTCCGATACTGGCTGCGCAGTTGTAACGTATCGATTATTTTCCTGTTACAACACAAAGTGATTAGCTAGATTAGCTTCTGCAGAGGTGCGAAAGAAATGTGTCATGTAGACTGTTTATTTTGCTCTAATTGGATTCACACCCTCTTTCTGAATAAATCTCATTTTACTCCAGCTCTTGTGGTTTTTCATGGCCGTGAATGCTGAGGAGCTCTTCCAGGGACGGGCAAGTGATTCTCAGCTTCGGTGGGGAAGACAAAGGGGTAGCGCTGTGGTCACTAGAGGCAGGCAGCCTGCAAACAGCACAGCCGAGGAAGCTCTCATGGTCACGTCCCGGACGATGCTTCACGGTCACAGACAGCTTTTGGCAGCACGAGGTAAAAGCCGCTCTTTGAACAGAGAAATCTAAGCTTTTCAGTCCTTCCGGACAGGACATCCACACCTGCTCTGGGTAAGCTGCAGCACAACATTGCGACCCAGAGGCATGGCGATGCTGCCCATCAGAAAGCAGCGTATGCTGGTCCCCCTTCAGCAGGGTGAGCTGCGCTGTATACTAAAATTGTCAGCGAATTTTCTGCTGCAGTTCATCACCTTTTCTAGCTGGTGCAGAATACTGAAGGAAAATTACCTTCGTCTGCTGTTTTTCTTGGCCCGTTCACTCAGAAACACGGAAAGTACCTGCAGCAGAGGTGGCTTCTCAAGTTCATCCTTTAAATCTCTGGAAAGAAAATGAGCTCAGGTGGAAAAGAAAGAAGAAAGAGCATCGTTTAAGAATCCTAGGTCTGAGTGGTTGCAAACTGCTAAGTGTCCTCTCTGTGTTAATCCCGCTAAACAAGTAAATGCTTTTCACTCCTGTGTCGTTTGCACTGTGGAAACTTTTGACGTCTTTGTACTGGCCACTGTGGTTTGAAGCTCTGCCTCTGAGTCAGATGGGTATCAAAAACCTCAGACCAGCTGGACTGAGCAATGCTCTCTTGATAAGCGCGGTAGAAACCAGACACAAAATGAATAATTAAGTCAATGAGACTTTTTGGGGGGTCTGCGTATGCATTACAGAGTTAAGCCTTAAATTTTAAATTCTTCCATTTATTTCTTGTTCCTACAGAGAACAAATGAATGCTACATCAGGAAGGCACATTTCTCTGGAGAGCACCTGCTCCTGCAGTTTCCAAAGATGTCTTGTAGATGATCCAAAGATGCCTCTTCATCTACACCAACCTGTGACTTGCCTGAGAGAGTTCAGTAGGTCTTATTGGAATTTGTGCAGACGTATTAAACTTGACATAAAACTTCTCTTTTATTGCTGTTTTGGTCATGTTTCTCCCCGTGACAGATTGTTATATTTTCTGTTGGCTTTGTTACTCTATAACTGGACACTGAAGCATCAAATAAATCCATATGCTGGGTACATTCTCTGTTTGAGGTGGGTATTGGAGTGATTTGGTATATAGCTTGCCATAATTTTCAGTGATACCTTTTGTCTTGCTCATTTGCTCTTGCAGAACTCATTTGTTTTAGTACTTTCAGAGCCAATGGGAGGTGCTAAATAAACATTTCAAAATATAAAAAAAGTTACTGGCCAACTGTGAAGTGGTAAAATTAAGTAACTTACCCAGCATCACACATGTAAGCAGAGCATCCAGTGCTGCAGAGCAACTTTCAGGTTCCCCCTCCTTCTCTTCCTGTGCTGTCCTGCCTCATTTATGGCACATCAGATGAGGCTTTTGCATCCTCCCTCCCTGCACGGTTCCCTAGAGCAGTATCCATCCTGACCAAACAAAAAAAGAAAAAAAGCCCAAAATAAAAACAATGTGATCAACTAATTTGAAGGAACTTTTTAAAATATGGACAATACAGTCTATTTTTCCTTATCTTCATTTTTGGAGTGCCTGAGCCACCTTAGAAAATTTCCCCCCAGTATTTAGCCTGAATCAGAATGTAGAATTTTCCTAGCAGGGAATATTCCAGTCTACAAAATGGAAGTTAGGTAAAAGGAAAATAACTGAAATCAGAGCCTGCTACTAGAAAATGTGATACAACCTGGACAACGGGAAACATGGTAATACAGGAATCACTGCATCTACTGAAGTTCGCCCCCTCTGCAATGGAGCTGCCAGTTGCTTTGGTTCCACAAAGCAGTGCTATACAGATTTTTAGGGCAGGAAGCAAAACAGAATATTATTTCTAAGGGAGATCAAAGACGCAATTAGGAGAGCCGGTGGTAAAGGCCTATCTTTCCCATCACAGTACCCACACAGCACAGTGGGAAAGGCTCGATGGTACAAGCAAGGACAGGACGGGCTCTAAGGGTTGCCCAGCTAAAAAGTTGGTAGGGGGAACCAACAGGCTTCCAGTCCCTCTCTTGCTGCCCTGCCAGGGTGAAATGTAAATAGGAACAGGCTACTCCTCTGCAGACTGAAAGTAAAGATTTATGGATTACTTGATCCAGAACTTTACAAAACAGCAAGATGACTTTTGGAAATGCAGAAAGACCCATCTGCCTGTTGCCTTCTTAGCAAGGTGGAAATTGAAGGACACTGTATAAGCTGAGGGAACACCCCAACAGTCTTCAGCACAAAATTCAGTTAAATCTCTGCCTTCAGCAGCTTCCAAATCACAGAAAACTTGGGAATATAGGAGGACTGGTGCATGGGGCCTTAAGAGGCCAGGGCAGAAAACAATGTTGTTTCCTTTCAAGAGAAACTATAAATAGTATTTAGCATCTCCAAGCAGGCAAGTTCATAAGTGAGCCTGCCTGATTGTGGACTGGCTTCTTCGTCAACTTAGTATTCAGGAAAGGGAAGAATTGCCATAGCAACATTCCCGTCTTCTGACATGTATCATGCAGATCATGTAGTCAAGGCAGCGCAGCGCCCTCTCACACATGTGCTCTGTGAACTTTTGTATTCCTGACAATATTAAAGAGAGAAGTATGTCTCATGATTGACACACTTGCCTGTGTGTCTTTATGACTCCTTAAAAAAAAATATGGAAATGCTTCCCTTCCCCCAACCTCCTCCTTTGAACTGTTTTCTCTTCTCCATCCCACTGAAATGATGAGAACAGCTCATGCCCCAGATCTGCAGATATATGTTCCTGACAGTAGTCCTACGCTATGCAAATGTGTAAACTGCAAAATGTAGAGGGTTTTAAAAAATTAAGTATATCCAGCAGAATCTAAATTCTGTGTAAAAGTGCTGAAAGGAACTAGAAATCTTCCAGTACCTGCATAATTAATGCTCTATTAAACAAAGCCTTACATCTTTTTTCATTTGTTTTTTTTGCTTTGAGTTAGTCTGAAATCTCCAGACACACACGCCAATCGTACCTATGGCACATGTCAATGTATATGTTGCCCTACGCGGGAGCTGAGTTCACAAGCAGAGCGGAGTACTCTACGTGTTTGCAGCCAAGGTCCGTCTAACCCCTTGGGTGGCTTGGGCTACGTGGACTTCCTGCTGAAGGAAAAGTACCACACATTACACAGGGCTAAGCTGTGGGCCAGTACAAATGGGATGCTGCAGCACTGTGCAGTAAAACCACCTTTGCAACCCTGACAGCAGTGGCAGCCAGGTACTTGACTTTACAAGTGTTCTTGATTTAATTGTATCACAGGCCATCCCGCAGACCTCTTTCTAAGCTTACCGCCTATTCAGTATTGCAGCTCCCTTCAAAAACTCTGTAACACTACAAATAGCTGGAATATAATCATACCACTCTAACTATGCCTATCCCACCAGTGGTTCTGACACTAAAAGTATCACAATATACTGTCACATGCCTAAGTATTTTTTCCTCAGACCTGGGATTTTACACGCTGTGCTGACCTTGGCAGGATGCCTATGGCACCATTCCTACATCAGGATTGGCCTCAGTAGCTCCTTTTCCAAGGAATGGGCTCAAAACCCTGCATAACTCTATGGCCTCGGCAGAGAGAGACCAAAACCCACTTAGACTGAGTGCTTCTCTCTGGACTGGAGATACACCTAGCTGTGGGCTACACCTAAGTGAGGTGATTTTTCTAAGCAGGTTAGTTTATCTTCTCTTGGTCTTCTTTCTTATACAGCTCCCCAGAGCTGCCTCACGAGCGCTCACTGCAAAGTGTTCCTGTTGGGTGGCAGAAGCTCCCACTGCCTGTGCCAAGGGAGGTCCTTTGTATCGCGGTCTGCTGGAGGCAAGTCACCTTCAGATGGTGACAGCTTTTTGTATCTTTCCCCCCACCCGCATTCCTGTCCTCCCCACCACTCCTCTCCAATGTTTAGGGTCACTGTACAAAGCTTTGGTACCTTACCTTCTCCAGGCAGGGTGGATGTAATTATGTTGTGGTCAGTATTGCTTAATGGTTCAGCTGGTATTACGTCTCCAATGAGCTCTTGAGCTTCACCCAGGTTTGAGAGCCCTCCCTGCCTTTGTGCACTCCACAGCTGCTCGTGCCAAGAAATAACCATTCGAGAAATTCCTTCTTTATAACTTGTCCCGTGGTGATTCTTGGCCAGACTACGTACAGGTAGTTGAGGTCCCCCATTATCGTGATTGTTGCTGCCTAAGTATTGTGTGCTTAATTGTCTCTTCCTACTCTATGACTAAAAACACTCCTGTTCTGTTAAGCCACCTCTAGAGAAAATGGTTTGCAGCTTAATACCAGTAGCAGAAGAGGGGTGACCTCCCCCTCTTTATCCCGTTACATCGTAGCAGAAGGGGGTGACCTCCCCCTCTTTATCCCATTACATCTGTCAGGTGTAAACTTAAAAGCCAAATTGGGAACCATTATTAAATAAGAACAATTTATTTTACACAGTAAATAAGCTAAGATGATTACATGTAGAAAGCTAGCCAGGCACTGCTCTGCCTGCGAAATTAAACATCCAGAAATACAGTACTGCAAAGTACTGCAGCTGCAGATCGTCCCTATTGCTACGGGCAGGATGGCTGGCAGCTCACCAGCGTTACTCCCAGGGGAAAAGTGGGAGCACAAGGAGCTGCCAGTTTGGAGTTATAGTAGAATTACTGCCCGTGTCAAGAATGGTACCTTTCACAGTGCCTGACTTCTTTCCATGTTAAGCAAGTAACCGCCATTTAGTATCTGTCATTATTTTTTTCTACAGAAGATCATGTGTGTCTGTATGTACACATGTATGTGTGCATATATAGCTCTGTATGCATGTTTGTGTTTAACTTTTACGTACACAATATACATACAGTGGGAACTATCATCTGCATATTAAAAAAGCAAAGAGATATTATGTCCTAGTACTGACTGTACCACAGCAATCTCTATATTTAGAATGCACACTGCAGAGATTCTTCTCCAGCCTAATGGTAGATGTTTACTTTTTAATACACAAGCTATATATAAAATGCTGAACTTGGACACCGTGGCTAGCTACAATACGAATTATACAAAAAAGATGCTGTTTTGCTTCTGTCTCATTTTGCACAGCTCTAAGGAACAGCAGATACCTCCTCCATTGGGCCATGAAGTCCGTGGCCTACCTTTCAAATTTCCGTACTGGTATTTATTGTGTTGAGGTTCAAATCCCTTTACAGCTGTGGTCTGAACAAGAAAAGGGCACTTAAGGGAATAAGACTACAACTTGCTCTTCTGGGTTACATTAAAATCCATTGATTTCCATCTGTTACCTGAAAAAAACAGAGTGCATTTTTGATAGAAATAAAATTGCTTATTTTGGAGAATATACGTTAAATATATTTGATGTTTATGATCTGTAAACTGGACAGTTCTGTTCTTCTTAGAGTTACTTAGTAATACAAATAAGAGGAAGTCACTATGCGCAAAAGAATTATTTTCACTCTAAGCACAAAAAGCTTTTTCATTACGTCATTAAAAGCACTACAGAAAGCATCCCACCTGCAAGTCCACTTGCCCCCTCATTCAGCAAAGCCCCTGTGCTGAAAAACACCTGTGCGTGTACTTTGAGTTCAGCATGCGCCTAAGAACTTTTCTAGACAGATGTCAACAGCGAGATCTTTTTACTTTCCAGGCTGATTTCATTTCCCCTTTGCTCCTCTTGTCTCAAAAAGAGGAGAGATCATTGCCACTGTAGAAAGTTGATCAGTCAAACCTGCAACTGCTTTTTTTCCTGGGACTTCTGCAGTAGTCAAACCCCAGGTTTAATCCTGCAGTCAGACACATTGAAGACACCTGTGCTTTTACAACATACACGAACACGTTGGGCCAAACATAATGGCCCAAATATATATTAAACCTCTGAGGTTTCCTTCCTTCCCTGCAACACCTGTGACCCCAGTTTAAGCGGCTGGCTACAGCGGCATGTGAAGCTTTGAACCACAGGAGCAGAGCTGAGCAGCTGGGATACCCCAGCGGAGGTGACCTCTTCTACCAGTATGCATTACGCTTTGATTAGGAGCTTG